GAAAGTTTCGGTGGTAATTTAGATGATGCGAAAAGAGTCTTTTGTCAAAAGTATGTAGTCTGTATTCAATAATAATAATTATTATGTACAAGATTATAGATGTAAAGTTTCCAAAAGTTGTGTGTTTTATGAGATACTGAGATCACCATGGTGAAAAGTCATTGTCCGATTTCTTTGAAATGATATGTTTGAAAAAGCCAAATTGTTGAAAATATTCTAAAAATACACGTTTTTTTTGTTTATAGAATATCGCTTTTTATTTTTTATAAATAATTTGATTTATAAATTTCTATTGTTTGTTTCTATTAGATTTAGTGAGAAAACAAGAAATGATTTTTATCATCGTGATACATTTACAAAATATTCTGGAAAATATGATTATGTTAAACTTGATTATAATCCAACGGTAAATTATAATTGATAATAGTTAATTTTAAGTCATGTTCATTTTTTTTTTTTTTATAGACTTCGAATAAAACTGATGAAAATGAAGAAAATAAGAAAAAACGTACAGCAGCTCTTGAAGAACTTAAAAATCGACCAATACCAGAATCAAAACTAGATAAACGTGTTCAAGATATTATTGAATTAATTTGTAATGTACGTTTAATGGAAGAAGCATTACTTGAAATGAAATTTGATGCAAAAAAAAATCCTCTTGGTAAACACAAAAACAAAAAATAAAAATAAAAAGATCATTATTCTTTTTTCTTGCTAAGGTAAACTTAGTTCTGCACAAATTAAAGCTGGTTATGCAGCATTAAAAGAAATCGAAAATTTTATTAATACAAATAATTTCAATGCTGCTTTTATAGAAGCAAATAATACATATTATACACGAAGTATAGTTCATTTTTTAGTCTCTATGAATACAATTTTTGATTTTTGATTTTAGTTCCACATGAATTTGGTCGTCATGCACCACCATTAATAAAAACAACTAAACAATTAAAACATGAAATAGAATTACTTGAAGCACTTGATGATATTGAAGTTGTATTTAATACTTTAACAACTGATACAAATAATCGTATTAATCCAATTGATCAAAATTATGAACAATTAAAATGTAAATTAAATCCAATTAATAAAACTGATGATATTTATCAATTAATTGATAAATATCTTCAATCAACACATGCTTCAACACATCAATTATATAAAATGCAAATTGAAGATATATTTGAAGTTGAAAAAGAAGGTGAAAAAGAAGTATTTAATGATATTGGTAATAAAATGCTTCTTTGGTAAGTTATATTTTAAAGATAAAGAAAAAACTTTTCGTCATTATTCTTATGAAATGAAAATATAAAACATAATATCTAATTATAGAAAGATTATTTTATTCTATCGATTTTCGAATCATCCACAGAAATAGAATAAGGAAATTGTAATGAGACGTTAGTGATATATGATCTTTGAACTTATATCAAGAATAGAGTCCTGCACGGGTACTACTTTTCGCACCCGGGCCCGGCTCGGCTCATTTTTTTCAAACCCGGAATCCGACCGGACCCGGTCATCTTCCACCCGGAACCGAACCGGACCCGGATAGCTCTACCCGGTACCCGACCGGACCCGGCCCAGCCTTGAAATAGTCAGCACTTGATTGTTATTGTCAAAATTATATTCACTTTTCAAACTTTTATTTCATATGGCAAAATATACTATTATTTTAATTTCATCAAGTAACAATTTGTACCCGGACCACAGTTCCGGGTCCGATCGGGTGCCGGGTATCCGGCCCCGTTGCAGGACTCTATCCTAGAGTGTAAAATACTTTTACTTGTTAAGATGTCATCGACTACCGGTCGGGCACCGGGTATGCTCAAATCCTGCACCCGACCCGGCATTTTTTTTTTATACCCGGCACCCGAACCGGCCCGGCAAATTTGTACCCGGACCACAGTTTCGGGTCCGGTCGGGTGCCGGGTACCCGACCCCGTTGCAGGACTCTAATCAAGAATTAGCACTACTATGATATCGTGTTTCACTAAACAAAAAAACCAAACAATTTATTTTTAATATATTAGGCATGGATCTCGTTTAACTAATTTTGCCGGTATAATGAGTCAAGGTTTACGTATTGCACCACCCGAAGCACCTATCGTAAGTCATATATAATAATCTTTATCAAAGACTATAAATTTATAAAAAAAAAATTAATTTAGACTGGTCATATGTTTGGAAAAGGTTTATATTTTGCTGATATGAGTAGTAAAAGTGCCAATTATTGTTATCCAGATCGAAATAAAAATACTGGTCTTTTACTTCTTTCTGAGGTGAATTCGTTTTGTTTTTTTTTTTATCAATAAGTATTATCTCATTTATTTTATTAATCAGGTTGCTCTTGGTAAATGGAATGAATTAACACATGCTGATATTAATGCTAATAAATTACCAGCAGGTTTATCAAGTGTTAAAGGACTTGGTTCAGTTGCACCTAATGAAAAAAATCAAGTTAAAATGTAAGTTTAATTGGTTTTTTTTATTCTGCAAAAAAAAAAAAAAAATAGAAGTAATAATTGTTTATTTTTATTTTTTTTTTGTTTAATTTATAAATAGAGATGGTGATCTTATTATACCAATGGGTCCTGCCGAATCAGCAACAGCACCCAATGCGAAATATTATACACTTAATTATAATGAATTTATTGTTTATGATACAAAACAAGTTCGAATGAGATATTTAATTAAATTGAAATTTTTATTTCAATAGATTATATTAAAAATCCGGTGAACTATTTTTTTTTTGCTTTTAAATTTTGTATATGAATGTTTATCTTCGTGCTTTTTATGTTGTCATATGTATATTTTTTTGCAAATAAAAATTGAAATTAATCAATTATTGAGAATTGATTATAAGAAAATATTTAATGGTAATGTGAAATTCGAGTATTGCGAAACTTTATTTTTTTTTGTTGATTTATGATGCATTTACTTAAAAGCATTGATCGACGAAATGATTTGCTAACAAAGAAATTATCCTAATTGTAGCTCTCTGCTTAAATCTATAAGTTCGTTTCGATAAGATTAGAAAAAGCTTAAAATGGTTCGTACCTATATTTTAGATATTTACCGAACTATCACATAGCAGAATTTCAATGTGAAGTTTTTCTCATGAACATATCGAAGGATTAATCGAATATTTTGAAATTTTTAACTGAAAATAACGTTCCTTTGTCGAGATATGAGTTTTTAAGTAAACTCGATTTTTGTGGCAAATATGTGACAAGCCATCATTTGTTGAAAATTTCAGAACACGCTAAGGGTCATTGGAACTATGGATAGATTGAATTCTAAATCGAAAATTCAATAAAATAGTCAGATCTCGATTTCAGAGTTTCACGGATATAAATCCTTGTAGGACTTTTCTAGTCTTACTGTGACGTGCTGATGAGTTCAAACAGCGAATTACAGTTCATAATGAAAATATGGAGAAAAAAGAAGACTGTAGATAACCCAAAATGCGCAGGTTTGTCCTATAACGAAAATGCTTATAAAAGTGACAAAAGACTCAATAGATATCTTAAAATCTTATGAAGTCTTTTGATTGTTGTGTTTCTATTTTGCAAGATTCTCTACTCATCATGTTATGAACAAATGGTGTTTATTAGATTAAGTGCGAATAAGACTGATTTAACTTATAAGGGAAACTATCCAACTGATACGATCTGTTTTGATGTTATTAAAAAGGTGCCATAAGAGGTTTTCATCTGAAACTTTCGAGTAAAACAAATGCTTCTTCTCCGAGGTAGCGTGTTTGAAAAGAAAGGTCATAACTTTATCAGAGAAGCTCTTAAAATAGCTCATTCTTTTGGATATTCCATATCTTACGAAGTATCTTGTAATATGTTGGAATTCAATGAAATGCCTATGGTTTGAGAAGAAAAGCCAAATAGTACGAATCTTTTTAGAGCATACATCTAAACTATAAGTCTTCCTTAAAATCTCAAACAGACAGTATCGATAAAGAGGAAAGCATCTTAAAATTTGCTTTTTGATCATTTAAAAAACTTGTTAATCAATAGAAAAAACATCACCGAACTATTCTTTCTACTTCGAAATTGATCTTTGATATCTTTCATTCATTTTGTAGTTGAATATTTCCAATGAAGTTCGATGTATTTCGTTCGAGAAACTATCATTCTTCAATTATTATATTATTGATTAATTGAATATGGTTCAGATTCATTTTCTCTTGATGAATGACGCCTTGTTATAGGATCGATCCACATTTCATCTACTAGTAACTCGTATTTAATAAGCATAACTGGCAGTGTCACAATGTTTGATTAAGCTAAAGCCTAACCTAGATTCGAGCTTCGTAGATTAGAGTAGGCTCAAACGATTCTCAGTTTTCATTAGATTGATAGAGTTTGTACAAATGCCTATATATATACGCCGATTCTCACAGCTAATAATAACATATCGGATCACACAACGCTAATACATTGATGTGGGGATCTTTCATTACAAGTGAAGAAGAATTGTACAAAAATTTTGAGTCAGATTAACAGGAATCTGTCAATATTGCCCTACAATTTGAGTGACTAAGGTTACACATCTATTAAACATAATTCAATAACTTTTTTTTTATGAAACAGAAAACAGTTCAGAATCTCTTGTACAACGAAGAAAATGGAAGTTTGATAGAACAGACACTTATTATATTCCATTAAAATTACATTCAAAAATTTTGTCTTCTTTCTTTTTTTAATTTCTACATGAAGATCTTATCAAAAAACTCTGAGTCTATCCTAGAAACAAAACATTTCCAGTCCCTATACTTATTTTTATCTTCATTTTATTTGCTTCGTTCGCTACTGTCTAGAAATATTTTTTCTACAGAAGTAATTGATTGATAGCGGCATCTAGATTCTTTTTTATAGTATGATTTGAAGGATCTCTTGGCAATATATCATTTAAATAACTATCAAATGGAGTCTATGGAAAAAATTGGTTTTGTTTAGTTTGTAAGAAAAACGTATTTTGAAAAAATGAGTACGTCACTTGGACAACGTAAACTAGAAAAACTTGAAAAAGGCAAAGGTAATCATATATTTTCTTCAAAGCAATTAATAAGATTTTCCATCATAATCTAATAATCATTTAGAAAAATTTTTCAAAAAAGTTTTACAGACAACAAAAATTTATAATTTCATTATATTTTCGTTAAATGTAACATAGATTACAATATTCCTTGAAAACTACGATTAAAAGTTAATTGCTTCTGTTCGACATTTATATATTCAATCCTTAGAAGTAAAGATTAATTTCTTTTTTTTTTCGTAGTTCGATATAACATATCAACAATTTCTTGAGATTCATTTTAATAAAAAAATAAACTATTTCATATTTGTCATTATGGCGTCTACAGACAATAAAAAGCAGTTTAAAAAACGATTTAGTATAGCATCTCGACAGGGTAATACTAACTTGTATTCATCATCATCATCATCTTTTGGAAATGATGATCGTAAGTTAACTATTTATATTTAATTAAGCATAGATTTTCGTATATATTTTAAATCACAAAAAAAAAAAAAAATTTTTGTAAAATATATTATTTAGAAAAAGGTAAAGCTGGTGGTAAAGGTATAAAAGCAATTTCACCTATTCTTGATGGACCAACTGAATCTGATACAAGTCGACCACTTGATTCTGAAGAAATTCAAGCATTAGCTATACGACTTGATGAACTTGAAAAAGTAAATAAATTCTTCCCTCCCACAAAAAAATAACAGATTTCAATATTTATCTTTATTTTTAAAGTTACGTCAAGATAAAAAATCCATTGAAGAACATCAACAACAAAAATCATTTATTGTTAAAAAAACTAAAACTGGTCCACAAAAACAACCGTAAGTATGTAAATAATAAAGAATATTTTTTAATAAAATTTTCTATATTTTCAATAATAAATCAAAAAAAACAATAGAATACAAGTAGCAAAAATTGCACCACAACAACCAGTACAAGAACAATTAATTAGTTCAGGAATAAGATTTGATTCATCGGGTAATTTACTTCCATATAGTATTCTTGGAACAGTTAATGATTATGTTACTGAATTACCAGATGTTGAAGCTGCTGAAGTAAATTTACAGATAGAAAACCAAAAAAAAACTTGATAGGAATTTTTCTTTTTTTTTTTTTTCATTAGCTTTGTACAACGGATAAAGATAAAAAAACTGCTGAAGATATTCCAGAAGTTGGTACATATGATAAAAAATCTAAACGACGAACTGGTAGTCCTGATGGTGGTGGACGTTCATTACAAAATTGGAAATTTCGTATGGATGAAAGACAACAAGTGATGAAAAATATGTCAAGTAAATTATTGACTAAAAAAATGTTTTCTTAAGTTCAAGAACAAATTATCTATAATAATAAGCTATAGATATAATTGAGTTGATTAATCTTTTGATAATTTACATTTCATAAGGCGTTATTAGAAGTAAGCAGTATGTATCACATTTAGAGATGTTTGAAATCACGAGAAAGAGAATTTGTTGAGAATAGGGATGGGAAGTTACCGTTACCCGAGAACGGTAACTTCCCAACCGTAGTCGAGACTGAAGGATAAGAGAATAAAAGTTGCTTGCACCAGAACTAGAAATCGTGGTAAAGTTTTCTATAGTTTTTAACGAGTTATATTACAAATCAAAGCAAAATTCAAGAGAGATAAACAACAAAAAATAGAGATGAAATTCATCAATTGATTTAATGCAAACAGGAATATTTTAGATTTTTTGTTTATTCATGAGAGTAAATTTTTGAATTAGTGTTTCCTACATTAGAACCGAGATGGTAGCCGAATGAAATCATCTGAGCCGAGATTAAAAAATTAATTCTAACATATCTTTAATAATGACAATTATCAATACATATTTAAATCAGAGATAGAATCTGTAGTATTTCAAATATCAGATTAAATTCATTTATTTAAGGGTACCCCCCCCCCCCTCTTTTTTGACACTTGCTGGTTCTCGAAGATGGTACAACCGATCAAGCTGAAAGTTTTAGCACAGATAGAGCACTAAAAATAAAGAGATACATGTTCGAGGAAAAAGATTTTAAATAACTTTTTGTGGGATTTTCCAGAGGTTCGCATCCTGACACATTACGACCCCCTTAAAGTTTGTCCGATTGGGCTGAAATTTTGTTTATAGATGCCTAACACTATTCCCCAGAGGTAAATTTAAGGATTTCCAAAAATCTCACTGTCTTTTTTTTTATAAGAGAAATACGCCCAGATTTGAGTTTGTGCTTCAGATCTTGACTTTCACGACCCGGTAACTCCAAGCAGGAACGTGAAAAGTGAAAACGCTTGATTTTACCTCTGAAGAATACTTCGAAGTATTAGTCGTGAAATTTTCAGCTCGATCGGACAAACTAAAAAGGGGATCGTAAGCAGTCAAGATCTAGAAAATCGCTGTTATACAGAACGCTAAACAAAAGAAAAAAATTTACATACGATTACTATGCAAAAAAATTTTTTCTCGATCTAATAAATAGATAAAAGTAAGACATTTCGAGTCGAATAATGTCTCTAGCTGCATATGGCACCTCAGGCTATCATATTTTGGGCTCAGCTCAAAATCGAATTTTGGGTAAAAAAAAGAGGGGGTGAGGCCCTTAAGCTAAACACTGAAAGTTATTGTGATTAATACAGTCTTTGATTTATCATAAAATTTTATAATTATTATAAATAATATCTTCATGAAAAACTTCTTTTAAAAGAATTTTTTTTTTTGGGTTTATTATTTTAGAAGGATTAAAACGATCACCAGCTACTTTATTAATGAATCAAACAGATCGTTGGCGTGAACGTAAAGAACTTCTTGAATTAATGGATGCAACATTACCATTATTACAAAATGGAAAAAATTGGCGTTTACATAGTGAATTTTGGACACAACAACAACTTATTGGAGATGATGATACAGGAATACAGTAAGACAAATATATCTCAATTCAAAAAAATTCGATTAAATATAATAAATGATTTTTTTTTTTGCTTTTTAGTACTACATTAACACGTACAGAAACTGGTTGTCCACCACCATTTGAAACTATTGGTAAACCAAATGTTGGTCTTCTTGAAACTGGTATAAATTTAACTAATAGAACTTCTCAAATATTAAATAAACGAGAATGGTTTAATTCTGAGTATATTGTTATTTCTTTTTCTTCTTCTTCTTTATGAATTTCTAACATTGTTTTTTTTTTAAATAGATATTTGGAAAAACGACTTAATCAATTAAATCCATATATGAAAGAAATAGTTCCACATAAAGCTGATCTATCATCATTAGAAATAATTGGTTATAATACAACAAGACGTAAAAGTCAACAAAAAAATAATATTGAAATTCATCTTTGTGAAAAAATTAATGATAAAGATAAAGATAAAGAATATGAAACAGAAATTACAGATAATATTCAATTAAATGATGATGATAAAGAAAATGAAAATATTGGTGATACATTTAATGATATACCAGATATTGTTGATGCACCAATAATGGGTAAATATGAAACAGAGATGTCCATCGCGGCAGCGGCAGATTTTTTCCAAAAACTATCGCGGCGCGGGAGAGATTTTTATTTTGGCGTCGCGGCAGCGTTTTAGGAAAAAATTTCAAAAATTCATGAATTTGCACAGAATCTGCATGTTTATGTATGCTATACTGTAAGACTTAGCGAATCTGATCGATTAGCGGCATCACTTCTATTTCAAACCAGTCAAAGCCTTGAAAATCAAAACATTTTTTCGAATACCAGCGCGGCAGCGGCGCGGTAGCGGCAAGTTTTTTTTAAGGCGCGTCGCGGCAGCGGCGCGGTAGCTTTTTTTAACAGGCCATCGCGTCGCGGGAGCGGCGCGGCAGCTTTGTTTGATTTTGGCCGCGGCGCGGCAGTGGCAGATTTTGAGCCGCGATGGACATCTCTTATATGAAAATCAAAAATGAAAAAATACACAAAAAAAAAAAATTAATTTTATTACTTTATTTTTGATATTTAATTTAGGTCCAGCTTTAAAAATTGATACATTTATATTTCAACAAATGCCAAATGTAAATGAAAATGAAGAACTTGATTTTATCTATGAAATTCGTGTTCAATTTGATAGTCAAGTTAATGAAAATGTAACACGTATGGTTGAAATAAAAAATGTTGGAACAACAGTTTTTTATTATGAATGGCAACAAAAACCATATACAAAACCATTTGATATTGTCAATTCAAAAACTCAACGATTCTATTTTGATAATCGTACAAGTAAAAAAAAAAGAATATACAAAATCTTTTGTGCTTTTTTTTTTGTTTTTTTAATTAACAAATAATATTAATTGTAGAACCTGTATTTCAACGTTACGAGAATCCGTTGTATTCTAATGGTAGACATACGAAATATTATTTAATATTGCTCGATAATTTTTTTTCTTTAACTTAAGTGCATGATATTATTTATGCTCTATGTTAAGCTTAGCTTTTATTTTTATAGTTTAAATCGATTATCCGATATGACATTATTGATGTTTATTTCTCGAATAAGTTTAAAAATGATTTAAAGTATTAGTAAAGATGATTAAGTTCGAAGGCAAGATTTACAAAAAAGAAATGCTTTCTTCTTAATAGCATAGATATTTCACTGGATTGAGACTATAGCATAGTATGTATCAACAGATTGAATGATGGTATTTGCATTTGAAATTTTACTCTTTAAAATGTTTCGAAAATTTCATTTCAAATGAATGTTTTGTTTTTTATGAGATATTTGATGCTTGTGAGACCAGTGGCGGATTTAGGGGGGGGCGCTTGGGGCGATCGCCCCCATTCGAAAAAAAAATTTTCGATTTTTCCCAGCAGAAAAGACTTAAAAATAGAGTGCATGCTGCTACTAATGAACTTCAAAACTTGATTTTTGGTCAAAATCGCTCCATATCTATCAAATCGCCCCTTATCAAAAAAATCCTAGATCCGCCGCTGTGTGAGACGAAAATTTTTTAGAGTATCTTAGTTTAATGGAGGCTAATTTATTGATACAGACTATACCACAGACCAATGTGCTAATATAATGATTAGAATTCTAGAAAGATTGCTTAAGAGAACTTAGCTTTTTCGATTTTTTTTTTCATATCCTACTCGAGTCTATCTTATACATAGAATTATTGATGTAGTTTCCTGTAAGAACACTTTAAATAATGTTTTTTCGATAGAAAATTTTAAGCTTAAGAAGAGTTGTCTAAAGTGGATTAAGAGTTCGTTGATTACCTATCGCATAGAATTTTTAAAGTCTATAGAAATCGTGATTAATGTTTTATTCAGTGTAACGGCCGAGAGAGTAGGACTCCTATGAAGATTGGATTGGTTCTATCAGGATGTATTTTTGTGTTCCGTAAGAGAAAATCTGGATAAAACACACTGATCCTATTCACCCATACAGTGTTTTATCCAGAGGGGTGCCTGAGGGGGGCGCCCTCCCGAGACTTGTGATAATCGTGCTACGAATGCATGGCTTGCCACCCCCGAAAATAATTTTTCGCCCCCTCGGAAATTCAAATCGCCCCTCCGGAGAAAAATCCTGCATAAAACACTGCACCCATATTCTACTAGTTTAACTGAATAGTATATGAAGATACTTAATATGATCAATTTTATCCTTCGCTTCGTTACTCTATCTCATCTTGATCAATGCTTACTCAAAATCCAATATCATACTTTTCAATATTCTTGTGCTTATAAATATACGACCCTTTGTATTTACCGATAATACAATAAAATTATGCAACAATCTAGATTCCCAATCTTTGGTATATATATATATATATATCATTATCTTGCTTTTACTTGAGAATGAAGAAATTTCTAACATAATACTTAATCATTTGCACATTATTATCTTTGCTTTCATTAAATTCATACATATACATTCATCTTTATGATTATTATTCTTATTCAAGGTTCAATATTACCAAATGATACTCTCAAACTTTCATTTGTATTTAAATCAAGTGAACCAGGAATTTTTACTGAACGTTGGCAATTATTAACACGTCCTGTTCTTTGTGGTGGTCGACCAATTATTTTTACATTACGTGGAGTAACAATGGAAGAAGATATTCATCGACAAACACGTGTTAATATTGAAGTAAATATTAAAAATAAATTGAAAAAAATTTCTTTTTTTTTTAATATTTCTTAGAAAATGCTTCTTCATAAAGAAGCTGAAAGTATTGTTCGAAAAATTGTTTCGAATATACTTGATAATGTTCGAACACCTGAACGAATACATTCACCTGTTGGTTTCTATATGACTGAACAAGAACAATTTCAACAAAATAATCCTGATGTAAAAATTAAATTTTTTATAACAATTAAAAAAAAAATCTTATTTGTTTTTTGTAGCTTTATTATGATTATGAAATAGTTGAACAAATAAAAAAATTATATGAACAAATTGTACAAGAATATGAAGAACAAAAATGGGATTTATCAATTGATACATTACGTAATAAAATTTTATCATTTGATGAAGATAATCCAAATAAACAAATATATCTTGAACAACTTAATCAAGCTATTCATCAATTGACACTTCAACCAATATTACCATCTGAACAAACAACTTATTTAGTTTGGTAATATTGAATTTAAATTCTTTTGAAATACAAAAAAAATAAAATAAATTATGTTTTAGTTATGATATTGTAAATCAATTTATTGATTCATTTGTTGATACTATGATTATTGTTCATCAAAAACTTCAAATTGATGAACCATCAAGTGAATCTTATCCAGATATTGATTTATGTATGTTATTATATAAAAAGAAAATAAAAGTTATTTAAATTTATTATTTAGATGGTTATGAATTTGAATCATGGAAAAAATTTTTTGAATATACAAAACAACAAGAAAGTAAATGAATTATTATTAATATTAATAACAATTGGAAATTTATTTTTTCTATAGATGAAAAACGTATCAAAAGTGCGGCTGGTGGTGCAAGTAAAGATAAAAAGGGACCACCACCTTCTAAATTAGAAAGAGGAAAAGTTAGTATTGTTCGAATATTTATTTTAAAGAAAAAGAAAAACGATCAACAAAAACATACATAATATCATATAAAATACTAATTCTTTAATTATGAAAATTATTGTCTTCTCAAAGATAGAGTCTATCAAGTTTGTCCTTAAGTCAATGATATCCACACTCTGACAGCAAGATCTTAAATACTCTATTTCGGAAATGTTATGCCCGAGTGCGAAAAACTTATGTTGAGTTTATGGGAAATTTTCGAACATGAACTATCAGGATTCCGAAACTTCGCCAATTGGCAAATATCCAGGGGGGCGATTTGGCGAAACTCGAATAGATTTTCATTAATGGTAGTGGAAGATTCATATTGTAAGTGATGTACAAGAACTATGCCTAGCATTATAAAAATATACCTCAAGTCACACAGTTAAGAATATAGTTGATATCAATATCTCTAATCAATACTACCGTTCTATTAAAATTTGAGAAAGTTCATTGGAAATTCGCCAATTAGCGAAAGTCCAGTTTGCGAAATTCCGGTAATCCGAACTATCAGAGGTATGATCGCAGGTAGTATATGTATTAAAAATAGAAATAAAGTCAAAGCATTAGAGTTTGTTTTAATACAAATACTAATCTGACACTTTTAGTTATAAGTAAAACAATATCGTACGTTAAGCTGTTCAGAGTGAGATGTTGATATGTATTTGTTTTATGAATTTAAATGAGTATTTTTTCCGTAAAACAAGGTGTTTGAAAAAGAAAAAGTTGCTATTCTTCATGGAATTGACTATGCTTCCACTCCTTCTAGCTCATATTTCACCTATTCATAATGAGTAACATAAACGATGATTATTCTCGAATTGTTTTATTTTCCATATAAACTCATACATAACAAAAAAAACCTCTTATCTTTTAAAAAAAGAAAAGTCAAATTAACCATGAATTTAATATTTATGTTATTCAAGATGACTAGGTCATTTTTTTTAAAGTTCTGAAAAATTATCTTGGATAACGATCAACAGAGATTTTTTACTAATTTTTTTCGAAAATATTAAAAACTACAGTTTAGTTAAACGAACATTTATTTACAAAATATGATATTGAAATAAACTGTCGTTTGTATTCAAGTCAAGCTATAAGTATTTTACTAGGAAGAGACATTTCATGTAAAACATTCTTTTGTCAAAAAAAGTTGAAACTACTTTTTTTTTTCGACTTTTCAAAAATCCTATCAATACAGTTGAGTAAAAACAGACAAAAAAATTTGATACTATAAGAAAAACGCACATACATCGGAAATCCAAAAAAAAAAAACAAAGATTATTTGTATTAAGTATCATATTGAAGGTCAATTATTATATAAAAGAAATTTCGAAATTATTTATATTTTAGAAACTAAAAGATAAAAATTCTATCAAACTGGTAACTACTTATCCTATTTCTTTCTTCCAATATCTAATATATTTAATATTCAAATAAATTATCTCCACCGCTAAATTATTTATGACCTCTGCTATTTAAAAATATAATTGTTCTAGAACTAGTATTATTTTCTTTTTTTTTTTTTATAGCAATGTTCATTTTTTATTTTTGTATAATATTTATTTGTTGGAAAACAAAAAAAAAGAATCTATATTTTTGCATTTTAGTCACCAAAAAGATCTCCAGCTCCATCTCAAGCTCCATCAGCTGTTGGTAAACGTGGAGCAGTTAGTGGTACTGCTTCTCAAATGAGTAAACGATCATCATTTATAAGTCCAGCTAAACCAGATAAAGAACATATTCAATTAACATCAGAACAATTAGATCAACGTTACAAAATAAATCAAGAAGCATATTTACCAATATATACTTTATTATGTCATACACTTGATCATTTAGAACAAGCATTAGATGATTTATCAGAAAAATCTCTATCAAATAATGAAAATACACTTTATACACAATTAGCAACAACAATACAAAATCAATCATTAAATGTACTTGATATACTTAAAGATGAATTAACACGTAATGTAACATCAATGGATGTAAACAGTTTTTTTTAAATAATTAAATAAATAGAAAAAATAAAATATTTATCATTAATTGAAATTATGTTAAGATTATCCCATGTCCTTTGAATCGGCTAAAAATTGCCGATTAATTCCGATTCATCGAAACGATAATCGTGAGCTGAATCGCCGATTACTTCAGTGATTTTTACGATAAATCGTGATTTTATGCAAGATTTAACCGTCTGTTTACTGATATTTTCTACTATTTCATTGGTTCTTTTGGAGACACATATTTGGATTTTTTTCTTGAATTTAATTCAATTTTTTTTTTTGTTCTCAAGATCCAAGCCGATCAGATCGTGCGATCTGTCCGATTCTTATCAGACCGCTTCAGTGTAGTCCTCTACAGATCATGGATCGGGATTGGCATTTCCTTGATTAAAAATAACCAAGAAATAATTTCTCAGAAAAGTATATTTCGAAAACTTATTTGTTATGCATTGAATGGCGTTGTTTATATATCCGTGTGTGTTCATAACAAAACGATGAATGAATAATTGTCATGATTTATCAATGATTTTTGAAAATCAGCTCTTCTCCCATAATCGCGATAAAATCTGATATAATCGTCGATCTTTTAAAGAAATAGGATAAATCACGATTTTACGCCAATTTTTTAGAAAATCTCGGTGATTCTTACGACATGGGAATGCGTAGAAATTTTCCAATTTTCGATTATTTTTCGTTGATATTGTGATGAATTAATTAAGCAAACAGAAGTAAAGAGAAACATTCCATTGCATCTTCTAAAATTAATAGTATCATGAGTAAGTCCGAGTAGTACTCTCAATGTAATTATTGTTCAATCGATGAAAAATAAGTATCATAATATTTAAATTTAACAAAAAGAATATCAATCATTATTATTGACATTATTTGATGAATTTACAATTTGCTTATATTCTACTAAAAATTCTATTGACTTCATTTTATTTAACATATCATAAAGTATTTCTATCTTTGATATTCTTAAATAATATATGTAGTGCATATGAAAGATGACATCTATTAAATCATATTGATTTTTCGATATCAATAATTTCTGCATAGATGTTCGATGAATTAAAATAGATGAGAATGATTAAAAAAAACAATTGAGTATTTTAATTGATAGTTTAAGCACTTCGTATAGTTATTTTTGATAATAGTTTCATGTAAATTCCATAGTTCTATGAAATATCAACGTATGTTGGATAAACTCTGGTATTGTGGGCTAAATAATGTCAAAAAAAAGATACTGTAGTACTCATAGAGTTTTGAAAAATGAGATAACTCGAAACACTGTTAGTCAATTATTTTTCAACTCCTATGAAAGATATTGATTCTTTTTCATAGATAATATATACAATATGCAGTTTCTGGAAACCTTTGTCTTTCGAACAGACTTTTATTCAGCAAAGTTTTAGATCAAAATTTGTATCGAAAGGAAGCATTTGAAGAGATACTTTTGTAAGTTTCAGTGGCAAAAAAAGTGTTGAGAATTGCACACATGAAAGTTATCTGAAGTAAATAAGATTGTTTTGTACTAATTCAAAAATAATATATTATGTTATACAAGAAGTTTTTATCCACATATCACATGATGAGTCATATTTCTACAAGTTAATATATCGTTTTTCTAGTAACTATGTCAAATAGAAAATATATTTCTAATGTAAACTTTCTTATTAATTAATTATTTTTGTTTATAATTGTAACATATTAGAAAAATTCCCTATGGCTTTTTTGAAACCTTTCAATTTATCATTTTATTTGTTTGTTATCAATATATATATAAATCTATCATAGATTTAAAAAAGAAGAAAAAAAAACTATTTTATTTTTGCTAACTTGAACAAATTTGATTAATCGATATCAACATCTGCTAAGCATAACGGGTAAAGGTGTTTTATTCAATGTTTTTATTTTTTATCACTATAAATTGTCACACTTTAGTTATAATCACGGTTAGGTGAAAAATAAAACTGGGCGTAGACAAACGAATTTATAAACCATTAGAAATAGCTTCATAACATTCTTTTCGCGTGTCTACTATCTTATTTTTTCCTTCGCATGTATGTGAATGATTCGAAAAGGGGAGAACAATAATAATAACAAGTTCAACAATAATAATGTTTTCTTTTTTTTTTTTTTCTTGTTGCTTATGAACAAAACAAAAATATATGTGTGAAAGTAAATCGTTTCACGAACACCCACTAAGTCATCAAGTTATATTGAAAATAACAAAACTGACGTCATAGACAATCTCATCAACTCAACAAACATTACTCATTGTTGTTCATCATAATGATCATGGACAAGCACGCGCATCATATCTAATTGATTTCTCTTTTTTTTTTATACAAGTGTTAATAAAATAATCGTTAACATACTTAATAACAAAACATGCTATCCATCATCTTATAGCATATTTGAACAATCGAAGTGATAAAATAATAACATAATAAAAAAAAAAAAAATGATCACAGAATTTTTTCGTTTTTTTTTTTGTAATAATTGTATTAGATCAAATCAAAGATTTAGCTGCTCATAGAACTTCAATTGATTGATAAACATTTGTTCATAATAAACAATAGTCTTAGATCAATTCTTAACTGATTTCTATATATGATCTTCAAAAGAGTGGTGTCAATGTGTTGGAAGAACAACAAAAAGAAAATGAATCTGTTAGAAATATTTAAGTTTTCATCAGAAATAACAATATTACCTTTATTTACTCCTTACAACTCATATTGATTTTTTACCGACAATAAAATTTAGTCTTAATCACTTATTCATTCAAAGGTACAAGTTATTCTAAAACGCTAATACTGATCTAATCATTATATTCGTTATTTCTATTGCCATATATTCATCATACTTCATTTTATAATAACTGAATTTACTCAAGTAGAAGATATCAATAACCAATAGACAAGCCCACAACAAACTATCTCTATTAATCATTTTGTGAATCTTAATTTACCAGTGGGAAAAATCCCTTTTGAATGAATAACTTTTCTTACTCTTATAAAAATCAATTGAATAAAACTAACAGGTGACTCTTTTGAATATTTCAATAGAAATGTCATGATTTCCGAAAGTCATTCTCTTTAGTTATTTTACTTTATTTTTTTTACTTTTTAATTTATTCATAACGGCAAACGGATGTCTATTGAAGTGATCTATTGTATATGATGAATATGCGGAATGTTTTTTGATTGCAACAAATGAAGTGTTATTAGTACAATAAAAAATAGCATTTTATTTTATTATTATTTTTTTTTTTTTTTGTTTTTTAATACACACGACGAAGAAAAAAGAAAAACGATACAATACACACAAAAGAAGAAGAAGAAGATGATGAAAACAAAAAAAGAAAAAGAAAGAACGAATGATTTATTTCGATATTTTATTGAAAAAAATTCTTCGAATATTATCCAATGTTATTGGTAAATTACATTGTGGACAAACTTTTTTTTCATTAAAATGTTTTATCCAACATTCTTCACAATTAATATGCCAACAATTAATTGAAACACACGGTTTAACACATGATTCCTACTAAATTTATTTTTTGAAAAAAAAACAGAAACAAAATTTAAATGAAAAAATTATTTTTTTTTTTTTTTTAAGTTAAAAATTCTCACCATACAAACAACACATTTTGGTGGATCAAGTTCAGAAACATTAGGTGATTTTGTATATGATATATCTGTTTGAGTTGATGGAGAATATCTTTGATCACTGTTAAATGATTCTTGACAACTAAGACTAGTTGTTCCACTTGTACTTTTTTCTTCTCGTTCAATATCATCATCAATATCAACAACATTTATATCAGGATCTTCGGATGATGATAAACGATGATGATTGGCTATTGCAGCTACAGCTGCTAATTGTTCTCTCTTTAACAAAAAAAAAAAATATGATTTAATTTATTAAATCTAGTGGCGGAACCCTCCCCCCAAGCTCAAAATCCTGGCTCCGCCATTAATTAAATCATCTTTTATCTCATACTTTTCTTGAACATTGTTGAACATGAGTAAAAAAATATTCATCATCAGAATTTATTCGAATTGATTGATAACATATTGGACAATTTCGTGTATCATTACGAATTGATCGACGATGATGTAATTGTAATCTAGCTAGAAAAAAAAAAAAATAATATTCAATTGAAAATATACAAAAAATGAATAATAAATAATTTTACCATTTAAACGTTGTTGTCGACTTGTTCGTACTCGTAAAAAAGTCTAATAATACAAAAATATTTCATAGAATAAATAACGAATATAAGAAAACTTTTTTTTTGTTGCTTAAAGTTAATCTGTTATCACATTTAAACAAATACATACTTCATATCGTGTTTTAAATGTTTGATCAATATTATTATTATTATTATCTTGAAAAATCTAAATATAAGAAATAATTATAAATAATTTTTTTAAAAAATAAAAAAAAAAAAAAAAATACTTTATTTTCACGTTTAATTTTATATTGTTGTCGACGTTTAATTGTATCAAGTTCTTGTTGAACATGTGTAATTAAATCTTGTCCATTTAATGATACTTGACAAATTGGACATTGTGGATTTTGTAAATCAATTGTAGATGATCGACAACGATTGTCTTTACAATAAAAAAAAAAGAAACAAAGTCAGGTATTTTAATTAAATCAAGCTGTTCATTCGCTTTTTTTTATTCTTCATATAGTTAAGAGTTTGATTATTTTATTACTTCTGGATCACTATCATACCATATGTCTAAATAGCCTAACATCAGAATTTGATTGTACAGCTGAATAATGCTACAATATATGTTGTATCAACAAGAGTTCGTAGTCTATGCCCCAAGTGACTGATTATACATACTTGATTTTTTAAGAGTAAGAAAGAGAAAAATCACCGTCTGTGCAATGAAAATATTCTTATTAAATATCGATTTATCAATCAATCTCGTTTCTTTTTTTTTTTTTTTGATCTTATTTATGACTGAATATAATGGCAA